TACCATTCATAGCCAGCTTGGAATGTTTTACCATCTGCAAGAAATTACTTCTTTATATGACAGGATGCTTATTATTCTACCTAAGCATGCTATCCATAGCATTTGAAAAACGCAGCAGAGTGACTGATTTCAGACAAGCATGAGCTTGGAAAACGCGTGTCTAAAAAAGTTGCAGTAAATTATCCAGATGAAACTCTTGGGCAGATGGGAGGGGGGGGGTTATTCAGGATCGAAGGTGGATGCGAAAATGGGGAAAAAAATCCACCTTTTTTTAAATTGAACAGTCGAGCGAAACCTCTCTTACTGACACAACAAAGCTGGGCAATTATGTCCCCCTGATCACATGAATCCAAACAAAAACAGGCTCTCTGCGAGGGCGGGCGCGCGCTGCTCATTTATTCCACGCACATCCGCGCGTGCGTTTCACTCGTGGCTTTTCACTGCCATGGTTACAGAATTCTTTGCCCAGACATCTATATTGTGGGGCATAAATGCCGGAGGGGCCGTCGCCCCCCCACAATCAAGAGCTAACATCTGCCACCTTCACAGACACGGCTGAGCGGCCCCGCGGCTGGAAACAATAGCCTCTCGACAGGACGGAGGACGCCAGGCCGGCCGCGGCCGGTCGGTGGTCCCCCGCCTGTGGAAATCAAGAGGCTTCGCAGAAGCCAGACGTGCGGACTCCGTGAGGAAAGTCAAACAAGTCGTTTTCCTCCTTACAGCCTTCCTTCAGCTGGTTTTACTTATTTGGCAAAAAAAAAAAACTAAAACCCATAACGTGCTGCTGCTGATGTCTCCTACGAAAACAGGTTTTAAAAAAAAAAATTAAGAAAAGGAGTTTGATTAAAAAAACGTGTCACTTTTAAAAAATGAAAATCTGCGATGAAAGCATTCATACAACACCCATTCTGACACGGTTTCTTAGGGAATTTGTTTATACTTAGCAAGCGGATGATCTAATGGAAATGTCACCTAGTATATTTGCCCAGACCTCGGGAGTTTTGTAATGGAATGACATTTCTCTGCAGGAAATGGTATGGAAATCTTCCTTTTGTGTCAGAGATATTATAGTATTAGAACTGTATTTAATTCCACGCTGGGAAAAAAAAGAAAGAGACACAAGGTTCCGGCTGTGGAGCCTTCTTCAGGTGCACCTCAAGAAGGCTCCACAGCCAAAACATTGCGTCTCTTTTCTTTCCAGCGCGGAATAAACCTTCACCTGCTCCTTTGCAGCCGACGCAGCTCCCTACCTGTATATAATACAACTATTTACATCAGTTTAATGCTGCACTGGCCTGAAGCAGCCTACCACCACCACATTCCCCTTCATTCGTTTTTCTACCTGCTTCAACCAGTTCAGGGTCACAGGGGAGCCGGAGCCTATCCTTGCAAGCAATAAGCACAAGGTGGGGTCCACCCTGAAGCCCACAGCAGGGCAAACACACCAGGCACAGTCTTCACAGAAGCCAATTAGCCTACCAGCATGCCTTTGGCCTGTGGGTGGAAATCAGGGCACCTATAATCATAATAATAATTGCTTACACTTATATAGCGCTTTTCTGGACACTCCACTCAAAGAGCTTTACAGGTAATGGGGATCCCCTCCACCACCACCAGTGTGCAGCCCCACCTGGATGATGCGACGGCAGCCATAGTGCGCCAGTACGCTCACCACACATCAGCTCTCAGTGGGGAGGAGAGCAGAGTGATGAAGCCAATTCATAGAGGGGGATTGTTAGGAGGCCATGATTGGTAAGGGCCAATTGGAAATTTGGCCAGGACACCGGGGTTACACCCCTACTCTTTTCGAGAAGCGCCCTGGGATTTTTAATGACCACAGAGAGTCAGGACCTCGGTTTTACGTCTCATCCGAAGGACGGCGCCTGTTTTACAGTATAGTGTCCCCATCACTATACTGGGGCATTAGGACCCACATGGACCGCAGGGTGAGCGCCCCCTGCTGGCCACTCTAACACCTCTTCCTAGAGGACACCCACATGAACACAAAGAGATCCTCACAGTTAGCGCCCCAGGAATTGAACCCACGGCTCCAGGGCTCCAGGGCTACAATGCTAGCCACTGCGCCATCATCCACCCCAAAACACACGCCCAACGTACACAAAACAACGTTAAAACAACCTTAGAAGGATATTCTTTGCGTCTGAACAGAAAAGAAAGCCTCACTAACAAGAATAAAAGACCGTATTCATTAAAAAAAAAGGGTGCCGACAAGACTACATACCATCTGCTTTATCTAACACATTGCCGACGATATAAATCCCGGGAGGTCGGAGGCACAATGAAAAGCAAGGGTACCACACCATCGGAGGCAAGGACAGGGCCTGCTTAGGAAGCGCAAGGTCGAATTTTAATATCCGCGCTGGTCATCGCGTACAAAATCGCTGCACTTCTGCTAATGGCGATGGTCCACAAACCAGACCAGGAGACAGATATTGATTTAGCGTATTTTAAATGATTGACTTGAAACACAACAAAGCTATGGGATTGGTCGTTTTGGTAGAACCATTATGTACAGGATCTGGAATGTGAACCAATAGCAGAAGCCAAAAGAGCACATATATAGACTCATATTGTGAACAGCACAATGGAACTGACAGCTTTTGTGTGCATGTATGTATTAGCTGTTGAGCGTATGACAATCCATTAGACAGCAATAACGTTGACAAAGAGCAAGAATGTAATTACAGAATGAATTCTGTAACAGTCCTGTCCTACTACCAAACATGTTTTGCAGCATTAAATTGTCATTACACTGCTTATTCAATTGTACAACTTCCCAAGCTCCCAAGAAATGTAATTTATGACTATACTGAATTCACTTGCCCTGCAGTCTAAGCCAGAAAAGAAAGTGTTACAGAACTAAAGGCAGGAAGGCGTGAAGGATCCCATGAATATATTAACGAAGTGCCAATATTTTAATCCATCTCCTGGAGAAAGCAGAGATAAATGATCCTGAGTTAAATATGTGCTTAGGTTGGTCTCAGGGGTTGTACAATGTCTGATTCTTTATTTTTTCCATTTCGATACACTGTGCAAAGCACATTTATTACGTTAGCACAGGTTCACAGTGTTTTCATGTTTTGTCAAGGGGAACTGCACCTAAGAGGCATTTTTTACAAAGAAACATTTTCCTATCTTCTTTAAAAGAAGACCAGTGATTTTCACCTTTAACAAGGTATCATAAATGGACATATTTGTAAGTGAATAAGTTCTCCTCATAACACTTGATCATTTTGCGCACAGCGTAACTTTGTCAATTTTCTTGCGAACATCTTTGAAAAGGGGAAAAATGAAAGTAAGCAGTTAAGAACCCACTTAACAATTTGCAACATTTCAGCACAAAATGTCACTCCTTCATTTCAACCAGCGAATACGGCTGATGACTAGACCTGTGGAAAGGGTTAATGGATTATAATTATTACAGAGCCCTGTTGCGTTAAAATGTGCATCCCCCAGAGACATTAATGTAGTTCTCGTTTTCAGAGATGCTTAGTTACGGGTAGCTTTCAGTGTGTACGCTGGCATCGGATGCTGCATGATGCTTAAGGCAGAGCTGCTTGATGCTGTTGTGTTAGTGTGTGCTGGACTTTGTGCTTGGTCTTGTGTCCCACACACACACTACTTTTGGATCAAAGGTGTTTGCTTTTATGCTGCGGGTATCTGTAATATCAGCTAAAGTCTAATTCCTGTCGATCTTTTATCAAAGGATTGCATCATTAATGCTTTTTTTTCCCCGCTGTGTAGACAGGTATATTTTCCTAATAAATTATTTTGCGGAACAGCATGTGGCTTTAAATTCCTGTCCAAGCTTACTGATTTATATTCCAAGAATACACTGATCTCCTGCCAACAAAAACAACAAAACAAGAAATGCGTTTTATAGAAGCTCATTATTCTCTGCAATTAGATGTTTGCAGCATTTAGTTCTCTGGCAAAATCTGAGTCCAGTTCATTTGTTCCAGCAAGGCTAAACCGCTTGTTCTCTTAGGTGGTCCTTTCCCGTACCGAAGCAATGTAAATGAACAGCATTTAGATGGTGCTTTCAACCAAAAGGACCCCCAAAGCGCTTTAAATACAGGGGCTGACCTACGTCATCCTCTGCCGAAATACAGCCCTTACCTGGGTGACACAGCAGCTCAGGTAAATAAGTGAGACACTGTGTCACCAAGAGATTTAAGAGGAATTTTATGAGGGGGGACTTCAGGTAGGCTAGATTGGGAAAGCCCAGGGTAACAGTGGAGGTGCACTTAGCTGGGACACTGGGGCGAACACGTCTGTTCTTCGTCTTTAATGACCCAGCCGTCGGGACCTCAGTATGATGTCTCATTCAAAGGAAGACACTCCCTACAGTGCGGTGTCCCTGGTGTCAAGGACAAGAATAAGCAAACTAGTGTACTTTTAAGAGCGAAACAGATCACCTCATCAACACGTACTTTTTGTATATTAACAATAAAGCAAGCTTTATATACAAGTTTCAGATTCAAATCCTTACGTATGCTGCAGTCTCCTCTTTTCTGTAATGTGTCTTATGCATATGATTCTCTTTACCAATATAAAATTTAATATGCATGCTGACGCAGCTACCCACCTAAAATTTATGAACACACTCTTTGAGATCTGGCCTCCTCTGAGTATTAAGACAATTTAACAGGAAAATAATAACAATTAATTAAGAGTTATGTGACACCAGCAGAAGGCTCAACAGCTGAAACAGAAACATGTTTCTTCTACTTTTCATTGTGGAATTAACCTCTAACTTGTTCCTTTTTTATAAGTTCATTTCAAGCAACTCTAAGCATTGCACAAAGGTGCACACAGAAAAAAGCACTAATCCAATAAAACCAACAGTAAAACTCATTTACACATTAAAATGCTGTGAAAACATTGCCCTTTTACTATGTTTTATGTAACAATTAGGCAGAGTGATTATTGGATTTGTACGCTAGAGAAACACATGCACTGGTCTTCATGCAAGAAGGCTCTATTGCCCATTGTACAGAGCCTGGTCTACAACACAGGACGAAAGCCTAACCCACTAGACCTTAGAATATGGGGCCTGAAAAAAACGTTCTGATTTGTTGGGGTCTCTAAGACCTGATTTGTTCGGTGATAAAATCTCTCCAGTTAAAATCAGGTTGCTGATCTAAGCAGTTCTGGCTTGGCCAGTAGGTAGTGCTGAACTTGTGAGCAGGAAAACAAAGCCCACTCTAAACTTCACAGTGGGGGCACACTGCGAAATTTACAAGTCTGGTTGAAAAAAAGGGCGAAATCAAAGGGAGACAAATTCCTGAACCTTTTACTGTGTTAAGGTCATTAGGGTTTATGATTCTAAGTCTGAAATCCTAAATGTGTTGATCATGATTTAGAAGACAATCTTC